AATTAACTTTGTATATAATTTGCGAAAATTTATTTCTATTGTACTTTTCCATTTTGTTATTATTTTTTGTTTTTTCTGCATGAACTGAATTTTTTAAAAATTAACTTTGTACTGTATGCAAATGTTACCTAAATAGCACGTCACTGTGAGTCATTCCGTAATGCTGAAGTTTTGGAAATAAATAAACGTTACGCTGCTGCAATACGGCACTTGTCCCTTCATGAAGAATTAAAGGTTCGGCAAAATGTGTGGAGTCCGCGTAAATTGGGGGAGGTCGTGGTCCATCAGATTGTGTATTACTGTCTCTTTGTAAAGAATGATTTTGCTGGATTCGCGAGGCAGAACTAAATTTTTTATGCCTTAAAAAGCTAGAATGGCGTTCTTTTCATAATCACTAGAAGTAGACATTATTATAAGTGAAAAGAAAATTTTAAATTTTTATATTACATCAGAAAATTTACTTCTATTTCATTTTGCATTTTTTTATTAGTTTTTGTTTTGTGCATAAGAGAGTAAATTTAGTTTATTAAATTCTAATATAAGCAACTTTATTTCTGAAAAAGTAATGGAAGAATTTTCAATCTTTTTATATGAATTTTAAACTTTATTAATTTATTAAATTCATAAAAGTAAACTAGTTTTGTGCTAAGTATCAATAAGAAAGAAGTATGTTGACAGAAATTGAGTTTAATTTCATTTTCGAGATTAATAAAGGAGATTAAATCGACCTGCACCACTGGTCAAGTAAAACTTTTCCTGCAGATATTACATTTTCAATACAACCATAAAATGGCCATCTCTGAGAATAGTCAGCATCATCAAGTTGAAGTCCTAAAATATTACTCGTAAATTTACTTAAAAATTTTTTGCTTCCAATCTTCCAAAAAAATTGAAAATAATTATTTTAAATCAGCTAAATTTTTGAATTTTTATCAGCTGATCTAAAATAATCATTCAAAAAAATTAGCTGATTTTATCTAATAATACAACATGTTGATAATTTTTTTAAATATGATTCTAAAAATCTAAAAAATTCGCTTTAAAAAATTTGTAAAAATTACGAATATTTTTATTGCTACAAACACTACAACTTTGCTAAATAATAATAACTTTTTTGGATAATTAAAAACTGAGTTGTAAAAATCACTAACTTAATAGTAAAAGTTATAAAGCTTTGAAAATAATATGCTCTGATTAAAATTATGGAACTTGAAAATAATCGCCTTAAAATCATTATTTTATCTTTAATTTTTGTTTTTTTCCATTTTTATAAAAAAAATTATCAACACATGTTGCATTTTTAGGTAAATTTCAGTGAAATAATTTAAATATGAAATTAAATTAGTGTGATTGAGATTAAAAAAATGATAAAAACATGTATGTTACTCTTTGAATATCACATTTCTTTCTATAAAAAAAACAATTTATATCATATTTTTGTCATACAATTTTTTTATTTTAATCATATTTTTAAAATCATATTCAGTTTGCTAAATATATAATCTTTCAAAATAAGGAAGTTTGTGACATTGAAAAAAATACCTGAATATCTTTTTCAATTTTTTAATATGTGCGACAAAATTTTTAAATTTTTAAATTTTCAGAGAAACTCAAGTTTTTACACTGAAAAATAAGTATTAAACTGTGAAAATTTGAATAGATCTGCGAGTTAATTAGAAATAAATTTGAAAAAATTGTGATGACTGAAAAAGTTTACTTAGCTGTGCATTCCGATGGCATAATGAAGGTGACAAAATTGTCTTCCGCTGATCATTTATTGAAATTCTTAATGAAACATCATTTAAGCACTTAAAAGTTAATACATTACTCATATTAAAACGTAATGAGGTAATTAGTTGAGAATTAGCAAATAAATATCCATTTTGTTCAGTAATTGTTAAATTTCGATTTTGTGATACCAATCGCAAAATGAAATATTTTACAGAAGTTGAATTTTCGAATGGAAGCAAAACTTTTTGTTGTAAATTAATTTGAGGTGAAGTAGAAGGAATGATCAGATTCAACTTTAAAGTTGAAATAAACAATGAAACAGGTAACTGTATGAGTGCAACCATTCAGTAAAATAAAATATCATATGATACAATGTAATTTACATGGTTTCCTCAATACTTTTATTCATAAGAATAGTATGTTTTAATTTTAAGCAGAAAAAATATAGGTATACCAGAAAATTAACTTTCGTCAGATGGAACGTTTTAGCAGTTTTGAATTCAAATTAATTGATAGAGCAATAAATTATTGAAAGAATCAGCATACTACTGCTTGAATTTCGAAGTTGAATCGAAGATTTCCAGAAAAACTGTTACAATAAGAAAGTGATTTCCAATTATAGCAAGGAAATCTGCTTCAACTCAAATAAGAAGAAACTTATCATTGCATTCGTTCGCTTTGAATTCTAAAAATTTTAAAAAAGTTTCGCATACTTTATTAGATAATAATGTTATTCAGTTTAAATCATACGAATATTGCAGAAATTTCTTCAGCACTGATTTGTTTGTATATTCGTGATTTAATAGGGAGTTAAGAATAGTCGAGAGAATATCGCATGCGCAATCATTATTAAAATATTTCAAATTTGTCGTCACTCGTAATGTTGATTAAGCTGTAAGAAATTTCAATTTCAGACAGAGTTACTTGCAATTAAAATATTTTATACTTTTGAATTTACAGTTGATTCATTGATAATGATCAATATTTATTCTTATAGTTATTATGCAAATAAAACTTGACTTATTCTTATAGTTTTCATTCAAAATCTGAAAAAAATCGTTTAAATTACTGAAAAGGACTTACTTCTGTTGAAAAATTTAACAGCCAGATATTTAATGAATTTTACAAACAAATACAAAATTCAAAAATGCCTGCAAGAGGTAACAACTGATATTTATTAAGTATTTAATGAGTTTTTTTAGCAGATATGGTAGGGATAAAATTTTCTGTGATTTCGCTTAATGAGTAACATCTGCTGAAAAAATAGATTAAATTTTCAATTATAAAAGATATAAATTTGGAATTATTAGTAGAAATGGCATGAAATGAAAATGATTTATTCGGAATTTTTAATCAAAGTTTTCTGAGATGCAATAATATCAGTCTGTCATATTATGATGACTTAATTTTTATAAACATTAAAATACTTACATGCATGTTTATTATTTCCACAGAATATCAAAAATCAGTAATTAAATTAATTAATCTACAAAATTTTTTGATTTATAAAATAAGCTTAATGACTATGAAAAAAAAAGTTTTGAAATTGTATATCATCTTTAACAATATTATTCAAATAATAATTTGCAGTATTTCTATTTCAAATTTGTAATAAAGTTTTTGATGAATTTTTGAATTCGTAAGACAAAGTCTACTATATCTCGTCATTTGCAAATTGTATTGCTATATTAAAAATAAGCTAAACTTTTGTTCATATTTTTAAGTGAAAAATTTAGAAGCAACAATTACTTTAAAGATTTTATAAACTGTACTTGCTCCTTGCTGAAAAGTAACACTTTTTAAACATCTTAAATAATATTATTCAAATGATAATTTGCAATATTTATATTTATTTTAATCCGTTTTACTAATGTTTAAAAGCCAGAAGTAATTTTGAAAAAAATTAGAAAATAGTTATTTAAAAGATTGATATTTTTTCTAATTGTTAGTTTGATCGATGTTCATTGCGATACTATCAATGAAAAATAAGCTTTACTTAATGCTAAAATAAATAAATAAACCAATAAATTAGTAAATCAGCAAATATTTTAGCTTTAGGAAAAATTGTAAAAAAGTTCAAATGTATAAAAAATAATTAATAACTTAAACGAAGATCTATACTGCAATGATATAAAAACAACCTGAAAACTTTCAAATTTTATACCAATCGTAAATATCAATTATTATTTGTTTGAAAGAAACACTTTGACTAATAAAACCCGTCATTTTTTTGCATTTAGTCTTCCAAAAACAAATTTTCAAAGAATTTTTCATACTTTTAACTGAAGTATTTATTAAATTTAATTGAAATTAGAACTTAGTTCGAGAGGAAAAAGCATAATTTAGTTTAAGAATGAAATTGACAGATAAGACTAAAATGAATTTTTTCCAAAATAATTATTTAAAATTCTTAAGTTTGAATGTCAGAGGAATTAATTCATAGTTGCAGTAATATCAGGTTTAGTTCTACAGATAATAAATAATAAAGTTCGATCGCAAAATTATAACTGAAGTTTGACAGGAAAAAATTTTTTCTCACCAAATCGTAGTTTTAAGCAAAAAGTAACGACAAATTATGAATATAAAAAACAATTTAACTTTTTTGACGATTTATTTTTGCATCACACAAGTTGTTTTACGATTAAAAAAAGAATTATTAATTATCGTTAATTGATAAGTAACTTGAAATGATTGTAATAGCTACTATAACAGAAGAAGAATTCTGCAACATTTGCTGCCTTCTTAAGCCTCACTCCAACTACTCCCTTAACTTCCATCATCTGCAACTGTTTCCAAGTAAAATTGACTTAAGCGAAGTATATTTTAGCTGTCAATTGAAAAGTGAAATGATCACTCATTTACATTTACTTTAACAGTTAATAGATATCTATCTGTCAAAGGAGCAAAAATTCAGTACTGCACAGATTTTTTTAAAAAATTTTCACGTAAAATAATTTTAGAATTGATTTAAGCGAAGTATACTTACTTATTCCATTCATCAGCAAATATTATTTCTACTTTGCTGCATTGATTAATGCAAAAACGAAGTATCAACTTGAAAATTGATAGTAAGTAATTTTAAGTTAAGTACACATTTTTTTTGATACGTTTTTATTCCAAAAAATAACTTTGCTTTGTTATTGAAGTAATATAAGCTATGTAAAAATGCAATCTTAAAAAAAGAGCGCTTCATTAACTAATTTATTTTTTTCTACCAGTTGAAAAATATAAAAATTGGCAATATTTAAAGTTACACCTTGATCTCAAGCTAATAAATATAATAATCCGAAGTTAATTAGTGCTTGTTCTTTAAGAAACCAACACTAATTAACTTCTGATTAAGATATTTTCAATTAGCGGAAAGTGCAGCCAACAAAATGATATAATACACTGCATATAAAAAATCAAAACTATAAAATATATTTGCACATAAACAAATTTTAATAATCATGGTAAAAAATTAAAAGAGTGGAAAGTTATAAAACAAAGATAGAATTAGGTAATTTATCCAAAAGTGAAAGTATCGTTTTTATTTGTAGTTCTCTGTCAACTTATATATTACGTTGATGCACATAAAAATTAAAAAAAACTTTTTGAAATACTTGTTGAATTTCTTAAAAATTAATTCCAGAATTTTGAGATATCATTCATGGGGAATTGTCTCCGTGCTGCAAGCAAAATAATCTTTGCGACAATGTAAAATATAACTTTGTCAACGATGATTTAGAAAAAATTCATATTCAAGTAAACTTAACATGAAATCAATTTAATTAAAAATGCTAAAAGATTCCATCAATTTGAAATCTAATCGCTTGTAATGTTATATAAATCACACGAATACCAAGAGTAATTTAGATTAGTATTCTATCAAAATCAGATTTGAAAGTTTTTAAATTAATCTCTTGCAGTTTTCAACTTTTATTACAATACAAATATGCAGTTACAAAAATGATATTCTAAATTCAACACTAAATATCTCTTTTTATCATTTTTGCATACAACATTAGACAGAATTACTTTAACTCTAATAAATATAGTATGTAGTTGTTAAAATTTAGTCTAAATATATTTCTTATAAGGGAAATTGATGGACAACTTGAAGTCAACAAGTAATATAATAAAACGTTAAACTTCACTTTGCAAGAAGAAATAGTTTGATTTCAATAGAATCTGAAGAAGTGTTACATTTTAATCATAAAAGTATCATTTCTTTTAAAGACTTCTGAAATAATCCAAACTTAATTTTAGCAAAAATTGAATTCTGTGTTTAGATAAAGAAAGAAATTAGTAACAAGCGATTAAAATGAAAAATATTTGAAATAGTATTCGAACAAAACTGAAATGTTCTAGCAAAGAAGCAAAGATCGTCGAGATTTTTTACAATAATCTTTAGAAGTTAGCAGCTGTTTGCTTGCTTACTAACAAGTTGGTATCTTCAATTGGAAGAACAACAAAAGTGGCAGATAGCTCGAGATTCTGAAGCATTGACTGACATTTGATCCTTTTTCGGATAATAACGATTGATAATTTACTAAAAGCTGAAAATCGAAGCAAATCCTTTAATCTACCAGCTATTGATCAGTATGTGCAAAAATCAGTCAGAAGTATGAAATTACAAAGATTAATAATACAAATGAAAAATTTTTGTATTTCTTCCAAGTTGAATTTCTCTTTTATTCAGTGCAAAATTAATTACAAATTAAATTACAACTCAATGAAAATTACAATTATTTTGTATCACATGATGCTTTCTTATTTTACTGCAGTTTTTAATTAATATCTAATACATAAGCAGATTTATTTCAATTATTTATTTAACTTTTTTACAGTATAATTTATTGGTATAAATATTCACTACATATGTGAACACATTTGTCCCAAAGTTTTTCATTTTTACAATTCGCTTGAGAGAATTAAAACAAATTCAAGTTTTGCATTTCTTTAATACTGGCAAGAAAGTATCCAAAATATTTAACGTTCCATCTCGATCTTTCGTTGCTTTTTCTCTAAAGTTCACGCTTTCTGCTGTACTTGAGAAAATTACCCTCCAGAATCTTGAATTCAAATAAAAAAAGTAACGTTCATTTCTGGAAAAAAAAAGAGTTAGTAGTCAAAACAAAAATTTGCCTATACTTTCAACTTTCAAATCAAGCCAAAAAATTATGAATTCATTTTATGCCGTAATTTTTATACTGTGTTTTTTGTTGTATTTTGAACACTGTATACTATACTCTGCTTCATATACTCTACACTACAAAATCTTTCTGTGCCCATCCAATGTGTAAATAATATCTTCGTCTAATCTTCAACCAGATAAAAATTTGCATAGTGTCTATTGTTTTTAATGAATGGGCCTCATATTTTGTTGTACGCAAAATGAGGTTTGGTATTGAATAGTGTGGTATGAACTGCGATGATTAGTTGCTTCTGATCTGAACAGTTTTTGTGCATGATAAACGCTTCACTTTTTGTATTTTACGCATGTTTGAATTATCAAGGAGGTTTATTTAAGCGAGATGATATTGTCAGATAGCGTATTTATACGTATGGGCAGACATTCTGTTTCTTATTTTTCTGTGCAATTAGTATGGAAATTTGTGACAGACAAACGTTTTGCAACTTCTGCAGCCAAAACAATCTATGATTTTGTGGTTAAAAATGTTGATGGCAAGGAAGTAAAATTGGACAAATACAGGCATGATATTAGTAGTGACCTTAATTTTCATTTTTCTATTAAAGGAAATGAAGAGTGAAAGTTCAAAAAACATTTAGCATACTTTAGAATATAATTTTTATTATTTTTTCCATTTGCCATTTTAAATACTTTGGCATTTACGTGTGATTTTTTTTCAGAGGAAAACCGGTCGTAATTGTGAATGTTGCATCTAAATGTGGTCTCGCTGACTTAAATTACCGAAAACTTAAAGAACTTCAAGAAGTGTTCAGAGATAGAAAACTTGCTGTTGCTGCATTTCCATGTAATCAATTCAGTTCACAGGTATTGCAGGTTTTATAATTTTAGGATTTGTTACGAAGGCTTTTTCTGAGTAAGCTGTAATTTACACTATTAGTATTACATATCATTCAAGATAGTCTACCATTATCACACGGTACTAATTTCATGTGCTTCTGGAAAGCGTGTAACAGATAATTTGTTTAGCGGTTGTTTTATTCAATTACTTAAGATTTTAAGTATTCAATTGCTTGTTATCTTGTATCGCGTCAGCTATATTTTTGTTTATTTCTTGTGTATTATGAGATTTATTCTTTTAATTTGAGATTTCTACTACTTTAAGGTTTTTATGAATGCATAGGAACCAGATCCTGCAATTGATGTCAAAAGGAATGTGAAGGAGAAGTATCAGTATGAGCCCGATATTTACGAAAAAATCGAAGTTAATGGTGAAAATGCTCATCCATTATACAAATTTTTGAAAAAAGTAGCTAGTGGTACATTCAACGATAAAATTAAGTGGAATTTCACGAAATTTCTTATCGATCAGGAAGGACATCCGGTAAAATTGGTTTACTTTATTTTCTCTTTTGTCAAATCTAAACCTCGCATAATTTGTTAATACGGTACAGGATCGTGATTTCGGAAAATAAAGTTTTTGATACAGGCATCATCAAACATTTTATCTTCTGTAGTGCTTTACTTCATAACTGGGCATTGCCTTTATTTGTAATTATTAACCCGACAATCTGTTTTCATAGTTATGTAGACTTAATATTTGAAATGTTCAGTTTTAATATTGACAATTTCGCCACTCAAGAAAGTTCTGGATAACTTTGAAATAGAGTGATTTTTCCATCTTAATAATTGATATATTACATATTTTTTGCAAGAGTTGTATAGATACTTTTAGGTTAAACGTTATTCACCGACAACTTCACCCATGATGATGGAAAACGATATCGAAGAATTGTTCCAAAAACAGGATACTAAATAATGGTTGTAGAGAGATCATTTTGATTCTGATTTTAATTTGTTTTAGCTATTTTAAACTCGACATATAATGTTCACATGCTTTTGGAATTAGTTTGATATCTATTTAGTAGTTGAATTTAATTATTTTTCTGATATTGTGGGCATAAATTGTGTTGAATGGGTAAGATTTCAAATTTAGTTTGTTCTTATATTGTTAAAATAAACACTAGATTGTGTGTTATTCATTTATAATAATCTGATAATATGCTATTCTGTAGATATAAGTGAAATTACAGCAAAAATTAACAGACTAGGAAAACAGTTATTATTCCTGATTTTTGTATACATTCATTTCAGCGGAGCATTTGTGTTATTCTCTTTTTAAATGAAGTTGAACATTTGGTTTGTATTAATAACTGTAATTAATGACGGTTCCCTGATATACTGTAGTAGGTCACGAAATTTTGCTAAGGAAGAGGACATCACTCTAATATTGATTTGCACATGGTGAGTAAGTTTTCACTTTTAGTGTGTTTGGTAACTAGTCTCCTTATGAGACGGTAATGTAGCTTTGAGCAGTATTTCACGATGTCATGAAGTATTATATCGATTAAATAGTGCAGAAATAATGTTTGGAGAAACGAAGTTTTTGTTGTTTTCATCGAAGCCATTTATTTTTGGCATGGTTATGTGCCGAAGTGTAATCATATGGGTGGGAATTAAAGATGTAGAGGGTCACGAGTGGTGTCTCAGATATTAGTTGCCAGGCCAGCTAGCTCAGTACCTACATTATGTGAAGGGTTGTCTCTGTAGAAGGTTTGTTCTCAATAAGTCTTGTTTTGTTTCCTAGAATAAGTTTTCTGGAAAAATACATTATAAGGCCGTTTAAAAGTTTATTTACTTAATTCAGAACTTATAGGTTTTAAAAAAACTAAGCAAACGATAGAAGAAATGTTTGCTAACGATATACTTGCTTCTTGTTTATCAGTAAAGTATGTGGAAGATAAGAGTTCCAAGCAGACAGTTCAATTATATTTTATTTGTTGTGTGGTATTTTTTAAAGATTTTTCAGAATGGTTAAACATATGTGGTCTGTTTGCTGTTGTCGCTAATATTTGGAATGAATAAGGAGCATCTAAATTAGGGATTCTATTTTAGTATTTTTAGGATTACTGATTCATCAATTACGAATCATTTGTTTAAAATGTGTTCAGAGAAGACAGTTTACGATTTTACTGTGAAGGATTCAGATGGCAAAGATGTTTCACTAGAGAAGTACAGGTCTGTTACAGCAGCTTAACTTTATACGATTTTTGTATAGTGTAAAGCAAGTCTAATAAAGATTAGATTAGATATAAGAAGAATGGAATTACTTTTTGTGAAGTGATAATTATTTGCGAACTAGATATGCAGTCATTTGTTGAAAAGGTCAAGTTTATTAAAAGAATGCATTAATCTCATTTAGTACTTTTCAAGAGGATTTATTCTAAATTTTCATTCAAGATTTGTTCAGGCTGCAATTAATATTGCTCAAAATCAATCAACAGTAGCCGAATGCTTCGTATTTTTAAAAGATTATCTTATAGCACTAACAATTATGATGTTATAGAGGCAAACCCTTAATAATTGTGAATGTGGCGTCACAATGTGGATTAACAAATTCAAATTATACAGCTCTCAAGGAATTGATGGAACATTATAAGGATAAAGGTCTGGCGATAGCAGCCTTTCCTTGCAATCAGTTTGGTGGGCAGGTTTGATTTTTAATGTTATTTTTTAATACTCAATACTGTTTTATTATTTAGTTGACTTTGTAAAAGTCCCCTTAGGTATTTTATAGCTCTTAGCTCTCGTGGTCACGTGTTTTTTTTAAATCCTATGAACAGATATAAGAATTTGAAAAGTCAATTCAGAATAGGTGCTAGAAACTAATTCAAACTTCTCTTTGTTGAAATGTTACTTCTTGGCTGTTTTTCTAGCTTCCACGAATATATTATTTATAATATTATATAACTTGTAGAAAGGAAGAGCATAGTGTAACGGGAAAAGGAATGACGAAAAAAAGAGAAAAAGTATCTAGTTTCACATTTATGAATTTTTCGACCTTAATAAGTCTTTATTCTATCGTAATAAATTCAAGTAAGAGGTTCAGGTTTGTATATTGTCTTTACTTGGCCATCATTTTATTATTTTGCTGTTATGCAGTATTCTGCGTATGAATCATCTTTTGTCTTCATAAGTGGGACTTCTGTAAGCGAATGATGCATTTAGTATATAAGTTTTATTCGGACATTGAAAGCAATAGTGTGGCATTATATTCAGGAAAATATTTTTTTCTTTGAAATGTTTATTATGAAAAAAAAATGAAGTAAAAAACGAACTTTTTATTGTTTTCATGCATATTCCAAATATTATTAATTATCCAACTTATTCCAATATCATCATTTCTGTGAATTTTTTGTCTGTGATTATATTATTTTCAGGAACCGAAATGTGAATTAGAAATTAAAAATTTTGTGGCGCAGAAGTTTAATTTTGAACCTGATTTATACGCTAAAGTTGATGTAAATGGTAAAGATGCGTCACCACTTTTTGATTTTTTGAAACAGGCCAAAGGCGGTTTATTTGGTGATAAAATAAAATGGAATTTCACGAAATTTCTCATTGACCAAGAAGGACATCCGGTTAGTTCTGACACTTTTTCGTTCATTTTTTTTAGATTTTAGAAATTTTGACAGTTCACGAGCCCATCTTTTTATTTGCTTTGATATTATGCAAATCACATTCTTCCAGGTGCAGCGTTATGCACCAACGACTTCGCCTAAAAGTATGATGAAGGACATCGATAATCTTTTGAAGAAGTAGCCATTTTAATCTCTCATTTTTAATTTGTCATTAAAATCAAAACTCCATCCTCATTTTTGTGCGACTTCTCCGAAGTTACTATAACTCTGACCATGTATTTTCAATGCTTTGTTACATTTTTTCTTCTGGCTTCATTGTAAACGGTTTGTACTGAAGTGTTAATAAAGCAGTAATGTGTCATCATGTTTAGTGAAAATTCTCCGCAAACTTCAAAATGGCTGTCAGCACTCTAAGTTTTTATCAGTCTTTAAGAAACTGGATTCTTCAGTTCATCAATATTTAATGAACTTAATCAGTTATTAGTTCATCAAGAAAGGATTTTTTTAAAGAAAATATCAGTTTCACTGACAGTTAACTTTCTCAGTTATCTTATTTTGATGTACGGGGGTTTCCTGTAGTATTTGAGCAATTACGTTTACCACGAGCTCTGGTAGTATATGCGTGTTTCGTTAATACTTATTGTTGATAAGCACAACACGGAGCATGAAATATTGATTTGGTGTGCTGTGAAAGTGAGTTTGATGAGTCGCGTTTGTTAAATAAAAAACAAGCTTGTTCTATCTACTACTGGCAGCGTAGTTCGTGTTTGTCTAATGTTTTATATGTATTTATTTTAACCATCACAGCGACGAGAAGTGTGGAATTCTACTAGAAAGGTGTTATTTATTTTTAAACAAATAGTTGAGAAGTTCCTTACACCTAAGTCATGAATCTCATTTATAAGTTGAATGGCAGTATTGTGCAAGATATCTATAATGGACATGGTCTACATATTGCTTTTTTCGATGAGCAAATGTTATTAATTAGAAATTTAATCATTAAATGTTGTGGAATATGTCGTGAATTTTTTGCGATAATTAAGTTTAAAGAAAAAGCGCTCGAGACTCAATTAATTTCGAAGTCACTCGAAACTGTTGTTTCCCAAGTTTATCTTACTTTCGATGCTAAAATACGATAAGCTTAGAATGGATGGCATTCAAAGTTTTAAACTTTTTTGTATGTAGAACGTAATTTGAATGAATGCTTTAGCTAATTTATTAGAAAAAGCTTTCAGTTTGTCAACTTCACTAATTATTGTTTAAACAAAGTCGAACTTTACTTATTCTGGAAATTTCTGCGGTTGTTTTGTACAATACCTTCATATTTTTGTTCATCAAAGTAAAACTTGCTCTAAGTTTAGCTCATTTTTATGATTATTGGGTTTATTTTCTTTTTATCTTGAGGTAATGAATAGTATTACTTCTATAATGTGCAATATATATCCTTCACATTGAAGTTTTCATGCGAACTTGAGTATATGCAAAAAAGAAGCGTTACGTTGTTCAGCTTTGAATAACAATGCTAGAAAGCTGGTGATTAGCTTTGGTGCCGATTAGTATCTTATTTATGAGGTATTTTCTTCATATTTACGAGCTAATTATCACTAGTTCTATTATTACAGTTCATTTTATTGAGAGCAATAATAAAGCAAAATTAATTCTTAATTTTTCAAGCAACGAACGGAAAATAGTGAACACGGAAATTCAATGCAGAAGTGAATTAAATTAAGCATACAATATGGTAACAATAAAAACGGGCGTTAGACGTTAGGAACTGTTAAATTTTTCGTAATACGTGTCCATATTTCCATATTTTGTCTTCAATGTATAAACAAAGTATAGTTTCAAATTTTTGTTAAATTATTGCAAAAGTATGCTGCAATATTTGACAGAGTTAAGAAAAATCATTCTCTGTATATTTTGAGATCGCCCATCATATGCTAGAGATGATGCCATAGGAATTACTACTACTTGATTAAAAGCTTTACTCTTCAATTGATCAATCAGTGATAATTTAAATCTATCAGGAATATAAAAAATTATCGCATCTCAATCAATTGCAAGAATAGTACAATAAATTATTGCAAGCATATATGCAGTTCGTTTTCTTCGTGAATTTTGGCGAGAAAATTTACTGCATTTATTAGATGTGACTATTTACAAGGAAAAATAGTTGGTGAAGGAGAAACACAAATATGTAAGGTTTCAGCAAATTGCCTGCAAGAAATTTTTTAGTAGCCTTTTCTGTGCAATTTAACATATTACAATAGTATCTCATATAATGTGCTTGATCTTATTTTTGATATCATAATAGAACCCCCTATAGTTATTTATTTCTCTATCATCTAATTACGATGTAGAGAGAGTGATACTGACCACTCCTAATGCCCTTCTTCGTTTTGCTGCACTTCTTCTTGTGAATGAATGAAACAGGAGAATTGAAACACAATGTAACGGAGTTAAATACAGGAGAATTGAAACACAATGTAATGGAGTTAAATACAAGTAAATACATCATTGTATAATTTATCTGTATGTAACAGTGAAAATGTGAGCGATTTTGTTTCCCAAACATATTTATAGCAGATACAGAGTTCAGTAAACATTTTTAAGCACCACTTCATCTCGGAGCCTTAGTTTTCCGATTTCAGTACATCGCAATATACACTCATTCTACGCTCGCGCGTATATATAGTGTGATATTTATGCCATCTAGAACTTATATATACATATGCTTGAATACATAAAAATACATTCATGCCTTTAGTTAAGTGAATTCAGCAAGGAAGCAGTGAATAGTTGATGAATTGGTTAGCGGGTATCATGAAGATGATATTCCAGTTGTCTGTGAAAACCATATTAATATACACTCCTCAAATTCTCACATTCCATGCAATCTGCATGTGCAGCGCCTCATCTTAGTCGGAAAAGTCTGACCAGCAGTGTTTGTTCACCTGAAAATGTGTTGGAAGTCCTTTGTATAATTAATAATTTCAAATATAATTTCCAACATTTTTTCGGATTTCGAAAGACATGTAGCAGCAAATGGACGATGCCTGCAGCACTGCGCATCGCGATTTTGAATTTGGGAGATGAACGAGAAATACACAAACCATCAACAAAGGTGATAATTAATTGAAAACTTCCATCTTATTCCAAGCAGAAGGAATTTCTCCTTCTTCTTACTGTTATACTTTTTTTGCTACATTTTGCTCTTCTTTCAATACTTACTTTTCATTTAAGTGCACAGATTTGCAAAAGTTGATTTGGGGATTTGTAAGAGTTTTGGATATAATTTATCTGCATCTGATAAGAAATGCAGCAAATCTCCTTGATGAACGCAGCAGGCAAATATATTTACTCCACCTTAAACGCATATAAATATTGATGCACTTTTTAGCTTGTTCAACGTGTATGAATGTGCAGCGAAATAAGTGCATAAAGGTAGGTTCATTTGATTAGTTGAAGTATAATCATGTGAACTCTGTTCATTTTTTGATGATACCATGCTATTGAAATTGAAAAAATTGGATGAATGAATAGATGGACAGATGGTATAAATTGCAATATCACTTCTATTTTCAAAGTGTATACTGTGAGTGGCGCCCAAAAAAAAATTTTTTTCTTTCAAATCAAACAGTGCAGAAGAATGAAAACTTGACAACTGATGCGTAAAATGAATGCAATAGGATTCACACTTAGCTGTTGCGTTGAAAACTTGCCAAATAAGCTAAACAGTCGAAAGTGATCACAATATCGCATTCAATCAAACAGGGATAAGAAAGAAAATGAATTATAGTGTAAAATAGGTGACATGTTATCAATACTGGCGGTGCAAAATCTCGAGATAACACATGTACACAAAAAGTGCGATTTTCCACATCAAATAATCTGCAGCATCCATCCTTTGTCGTGAACCATACATCTCATTTCAGCACGTCGTATCACACTTGCAGCTTTCCATAACAGATTGCTCCGCAAGCATTAATCACTGAGCACACAGGGTTCACAAGCAAATAATTCGTACAGCAAAAAACAAATGGCAGGAAAAACTTACAAATTTACTCATAACAACATCTGCTAGTGTGAAAACAATCACAAGTACAGATCCTCTAGTAACTTATTCGCTTAACAAGTAAGCATTCTTTGACTGCTGTAAGCAAGAACCTTGCCTTCTAAAAAGCGAATAAGAAAGAAGCTAAGCACTGCCAGCAAGCGCAATGAAAAAGTCAACATGATAATAAAAACTGCTACAAAAGTATACGACTTTATAATAAAAAGCATAAACTGCTAATTAAACAAGCACGAAGGGAACTAGATTCATATTTAACTAGGCAATATGAATACGGAGCTCGCGATGAATCAATCGTACGTGAGTTATAAGAAAGAAGGAAAAATACTCTATGCAGTGTTTATTCATCTCACATCTCTCAACAACTGTCCCTTACCAATTTAATACTCATGCACATCTGTCATATTTATAGATCTCCTACACGCAATCAAAAACATCAAGATTTATCTAAAATGATAGAGAAAAACCTACTAACTTCCACTGAACGATTAAAATTACTCAAGCATTTTACTAGAAAATAATTCACTTCAATTATGAAGGGAAAACTGTGAAGAGGAAAATTGTGGACAAATAATGCAAAGGATAGGATGCAAGAAGCTAGACAAAGCAAAAATCAGGTACTCACTGCTCAACAAGAACTAAAGCCGTCGATCAAAAGAAACGCGTCACGAGAACGAACTAATAAATGCCTTCTACATTTCAATACCAAAGAGAAACGTGCTTTGAGTGCAAGCGCATTTGACGAATTACTACATCCTAACTCATTAATAATTAAAAGTAATGAGTTACAGTTTACACATGTAGTAAAATATATAGAGAGAGATGAGAACAATCAGCTTTTTTCTTTTTTCATATATTTTGCTTATTTACCTAAATATTTGTGATAATTATCCCTCATTAAATCATTCTTTATTGTCGTGTTTATCTCTATTAACAGATAAAACAATCGGACTGTTACAAATGCTGAAAAAACATTTCAGTGATTTCAAATGGCACATTATATTACGTAGTACTCACATGAATGAATGTAGATTTCTTGAAATTGGGATGAAAGAAAACAAGAGTACAGCTGAAGAGACTTATGAGCAAGAATAACTTTCGTCTAAAAAATTGCGATACTATCAGCAATCTTCGAACTAATAAAACACTCACGACAATTCGCCGGAACCCGTATTCAAGAAGGTAATGAAAATAACAGTAAACAGTAGGTCAAAAATAATAATAACTGAGTAAGACTGTATAGAGACCAATACATATTAGGTATGAAATACTTTACACCCACGTCAAAAATGCATGGAAGAAAAATTTGTGTGCAAATCGAACATAATATACAAAGACTTTAGAAAATTAAGTTTTATGGAGCAACATAAAAACAATACATTCATTTGAATTTTTTTACTTACAAACGAAATCGGTAACAAATGGGATGAAATTTATAACTTTCTGAGTCCTTAATTGGTAGCCTAATTCACAAATGTTCAGAATGGTGAAAATTTTACTCATCTGATCTAAAATGTCTTATTCGCAATGACTCTACTTAGACTAGTAATTTCAGTTCATTTTGGAACAAAACTGACTATGGAAGTCATCAAATTACAAAACTTCGCAATAGCAAGTGCAGTTGCTCAAACAGTAACAAAGACGAAGAAGGGCAGAGAATTCAATTCCCACTCTTAAATCACATCAGATGCTTAATCACTACAGATTTATTTAAGTCTTCTATAATGCTGAAAAGTTATTGAATTTTGCAGTGAAACTGATTCCTGAAATAATCAAATTTCCGTGCATACAAAATCCCTTGGAAATGAAATACTGAAAAAAATGAAAGACAAACTCTACTTACACCTTTTCCTCACACAATAACAAACAAGCAGTTAAGAAATACAGTTACAATTTATATAAATCCAAGAGTTTCAAGAAAAGGAATGCACATCATTTGGTCAATTAAATTTACAAAAAAAGGACACAAGATCAAAGAGACGATAAATAAAATGATGCAAAGCATTTTACAAAATGAGGCATTAATATACTTCTTGATGTTATGGTAACACGAATTACTATTGCAAAAAACATTGAATGAGTGCAAAAAATGAAAACAGATAACTGCATTGCACTTTTCACAATGCACTAGCTCAGCAATTCAAAGAATACATGCTTATTATTGCAAAAGTAAGTAAAGTAAAAAGTTTCAGTCATCTAAAATGTACGAACAAAAAAATTTTTCCAACAATTTATAAGAACAGTGCATTATCCTTCCAAAAACTGCATACTATTCTACTTGTTTGTAGGATAAGCACAATAAATACATTTTAAATATCAATCAAATGTAACAAAACAATAAAGATGGTGTGCAAAACGAAAATTTATCAAAAAGATTCAAGTAAAAAAAATGAAAATTTCAAAAACCTGCATTTGAGGAAAATGAAACGAATGCTGAAAAAAATATTTTTAGGCCGAAAATTATACGTACAGCAGCAGTTTGATTCATAAATTTTCCTTTGCTAAATTTAAATGATGGCCAGATTACATGGAACAAGAAAGTCTTTCCATGAATACAAAATGAAACAAAACGAGTACGACAAGATAAATGGAACTCTTTCTTCATCACGCTTCAAAAAACGCTCCACCATGAAACGATATACAAAATCTACTTGATTTATATGCAAGTAATCAGAAGTAGACAGATGTAATAATGTCAGCATTTTGAACCTATGCTAAGCCATTTCTTTGGAATAAACAGAATTAATTACAGAAGAGAAAACAACTTGGCACATGAACAGCTCCATCTTACTTTTAAAAAGCATAACAAATAAAAAATTTACCACATAATCGACAGAGACTGAACCTCTGATTTACACCCCACTTCTGAAATTACATTCTTCTGAAATTGTTCACATTGCCCAAATTACTGAACCCTTCCTTGCAGCTATTCCTACAAAAAATTACATAATTTAGTACGTGAATACTAAACGAAAAACAAAGTGTTGCATTGGTTTGACAACCTAAGTTTTAGCCCTGCTAATTACTTTGATTACAAAACAAAGATCAAATAATAAAATAATGAATAATGGAAGCAAAAATATACCAAATGGATCAGAAAGTATCGAAAAACCTACCACTGATTACCAGCCTCTCCCATTCGATTTCGCGCATACTCAATTCGAATGCCACTTCGACCGGAAGACGAGATACGAAAACCTTGCATTGCATTCATAGCTGCAGTAGCCTGCCGCACGTCACGAAACTCCACGAATGCGACAGTCACATCATTTCTGGTTAGTAACCGTAATCGAGTAAACCCTGGATGAACTTTAAAGGCCTGCAAAAACTAATGATGAAAGCAAACAAACTATCATATCATGCAAACATTTTATTATCTATGCTTTTAGATAGCACTTTTATGAGATAGTGATGATAGACCGTGAGATCGAATTTCATGACCGTAAATGCGAATATAATACTTGTTTTTACCTTCATGAAGTTATGATTTTCTAGAAAAATACCTTAACATACAAATTAAAAATATTTCAATTGAACATTCGTTCATTCAATATATCAGAAATATTAACACTGATACAAAGTTTTGCAAAACTTTCACATAATAAAAACCGATTCATCATATTTATAAATCAAGTAATTCCATGAGGAAATAAGTTTCGCTAAAAAAAAGTAGCCTGCTAGCATTTAGCTACTTAGGATTTACTGAGACCGAGATTTTCCAACTTCACCTATCATTTTTCCTACCCATTTAATTGCAGACATAAAAGGCAAAGAGACAGCAACAAGTTTAATATTACACATATTATGCTTCTTTTTTCATTTTAAAGACTGATGAAAGTGATATTTTTTAAACTTAAATAGCCGATTATTGGCTGAATGCACATTAGCCCACGGTAATGTGAGAAGAAAAAAATGAAAATGTGAGGCACTTTCTCTTCTAAGCTCTCCTACTAAATATATCGCAAGACAATACTTAAACAGATGAAGAAATGAAAAAAACACTATATAGCTAGTTGTTATATAGTGATCTCGAAATGCAATTATGAGAAAGAAAAAGAAAACTCACAGCTTTAATTTCTTCCTCATTCACGTTGTCTCCTAAGTTGGCAACAAATAAAGTGGAGCACGCTAGTGAAGTTGTTGGAAAGGCACTTGAAACCACTACACCCATGGCATTTACGTTCAGCTGTGAGCTACTCACGTGCTGCTGTGGTTGCTGCTGCTGGTGAGATGCAACTGCGGTTAAGTGAGCCATTGCTGCAGCATTTGATGGTAAAAATGAGGCCGGTGAAATGTCACAACGATTTACATTATTGGTACCTACAGCAGGTAAACCGGCTGCAATTGCAGCTGCAGCAGGAGACAATAGTAAAGATGGCTGTGAGACAGCTGCAAACTGTGGTAGTGAATTAAACAAGAAAGAATTGTCAGTGAAAAACTGAGAAAGAGAAGGTGTCTCCGCAAAACACGTTACATTCAAGAGATCATGTCGATGAGCTGCAGCAGCTGCAGCTGCAACTGCAGCTGCTGCTGCAGAAGTAGGTAATGACGGTGGTTGTTGAAAAAACGTTTGCGGTGCAATCGCAGCTACGGCAGCTGATGGCGGTGGTAACTGCGGAGCTGCTGATCCTCCAATTGCAGCAGCCGCAGCAGCAGCCTGCAAAAGACTGGGAGGAAACGGAGTCGAATTAACAACCGCTGGCGATGGAAGCACCGCAGCTGATGGTGGTGAAAACTGCCTTGATCTCGGCGCTTTAGTATTACTTTTGGCCTTCTCTACGCGTACTCTATGACCCGTCGCTGGATCAAAAACAACGCTCTGTAAATTCTGCATAGCCTGGTCAGCATTCTCTGAAGTAGAAAACGTCACGAAGCCAACTGGTGAAACGGTTCCTCCATCTTTTGAATTACTGACACGTAGTAGTGAATTTTCGTAACCTCGGCAACTAACAAAGAGTAAATGTAGTTCACGCTGTTTAGTATCCATCGGCAAGCCTGATACAAATAAAGTTCGTACTGGATCGCGTTCTACACCATTAGTTGTCACAACAGGTCGTATAGATGGCACTACTGGCCGTATAGGTGAAGTATTATTATTAGAGCTTTGATCAGGTTCTGTAGATTGGCTTAAGTTTGTTACTGTTCTGTTCGCCAATTTTGGAGACGAACCTCCAGTTGGCGAGGAATTTGACCGCTTCAGTTTTGTTTCTTCGCACCCACAAAGGGGTAACTTCAAAACAAATAAACTTTCTATCCGACTCTATTCGTTACAGGACCTTCTCTTCGTTTCAGGAGAAAGCGAGGGTAGGTATCTGTGCACAGAATCTTTTTCTAATCTATAATTAAAACGATTTAGTCTCAAATCAAACTATACTTAAATCTCGCAACTAAAGCATTACAAAACAAAATACAAATTAAAAGTCTTTTAAAATTCTTTATTAGTCATAGTCAAAAAAGCAAATAGTGCAAAAATTGCTGAGCCTGAAATCACTGATGTAAGCACAAAGCTATACGATTAAACTTATTTTTGCAGTTATGTAAATATTTCCTGTGCCTTAAAAATACGAAATAAGGTTGTTAAGTCGATAAACAATAGCACCCTGCTTAGTAATTAGCTTTAAACTTCCTATAGATCATATTAACAGCTTCAGCTCAAAAGCGATCAGTATAAGTGAAGAGACAATGAATGAGTGAATACGTTACTCTTTATCAGTGCATTTGTGATGGAAATTATTCACATGTATCCAATACACGACATGGACAAATGTATAGTTTAACATATACAGCAACAAAAGCTGTGAACGTATGTAATCAAGAGAAGATATAACATTAATAGTACTATAAATAATTAAATAACAGTGATCATGACATTTCGCTTAATATGACACTATGAACTGGTGTAACTGTAATTCTCTATAAACTATACAAATGGCCAAGTAAACAAATCATCACGACCATATCTAGTGATCACATTCAGTGTAAGTACAAAACCAACATCTCTTAATGTCCTCAAACAAACTCTGACCCGATCAGTTGCGCTTTGTGTGCATTTCTGCAGCCTCTCTCTCTGCACTCTGATCACTGACTGATCTTCAACCAATCTAAAAGAAACTGCAAAGTCTCTATCTTTGCACGTGACTCTCACTCACATGTCGTCATGTAGTCAGTGACTGAGAGCAATTTTTGGCACCGAGTCAACTATAGACACAGTGACCTCTGCCTTCCACTAATCAATCATTATAAAACTGCCCATTGCAACGTCATACGCACATCATTACAAAATAATACAAACCTATTCCTCACAAGAAACGTTTTTCCCACACATTACAAAAATGCTAACATTCTCTCCCTTGCCCTTCCCCCTCACCTTCACCTTCATCCTCACCCATTCATTCATCATCATACTACTACTGCTATCATCTTTCGAGGTCTTTTCCTTCTTGCCCATACAATCGTTCAGCACTCACAGACTACCTATATAAATGCTTCACTTCCTTCATCATCATCTTGTTTGTCTTGAGCATGGGGATTTTTGAAAGAATCACAGAATAAACAAACAGAATAATCATATTCCTAGTAACATACATGCATGACGACAATATGAGCTTACGAGAATGCACACTCATATATTCAAAACTCAGTGATTTACGACAGAATAATAAATTTACGAACGAAAACTTTGGGCACGAAGTGTATGTGTTATAAAACTAAAGCAGTGTGGATTTTTAATGAAATGACAATGCAAAAATATGAGTCAGTAAAATGAGTGCAGTTATTAAGTACACGAAAATTTTTTCTGATACAAAAATTCTGAGTGAGAGGTAATTAAATGCAACTGGAAAGTGAAAGCAGCAGTTTAGAGAGTTCAGAACAAAATAGGTGCAGCCTATAAATCAATTAGCATAATGTCATTTTCCTACGAAATAAAGAGAACTTAAGAAAGAAAAGTTTGTAACTGGAGGACGTAATCAAGCACTCTCCTGCTATTGCATTACAAATCTGGAATAAATGCAAAAATAGTTTCCTTTTGGGCAAAAAATGTGCAAAGTATGAGTCTCCTCATTTGGTCATCACTACACACCGCCGCATGCTAACCAAACAGAGACAGCAAATGAAAAGTATGATGAGCAGTTGATGGTTGACCTCAGAACACAAATGACTTCCCATGGTCCTGTCTGCTGTCTACGATAAGATGACCCTTGGCCATAGTGTCTGCTATTTCTATGTGGTCTTTTTCTTTGCAATATCATGATGTTTGCTATTGAGATTGATGAAGGACTTAGTATTACAACGTCCTTTTTTGAAAGGTAATCGTAGGACCAAAGGTAATTTGAAAGTTGGCAAGAATCCATCTATTCATTAACTGCTAAAACGACGAAAATATATCACGCAAGAGTGAGTAGAAAAAGAGTCGGCGACACTGAAACAATAATGAATCTGTTATGCAATTAAGATCAAATTATTATATCTTAATTTTATAAAATAGTATTTAGGACATGAAAATTAACCTATAAAAAACTTAACCTTTATTGACTAATACAAAGAGTATGACAAAAGAATGAACAATAACAGTTAGATAAGCACCAACGAATGAGCAAGCAGTGAAAAAAGTGTCCACTGGTCATCTGAACAGCACTATCAACTCAAGCAAGACAACACTGT